GCCAATTCGCACAAAATGCCCCCCAACCTTACAAAATGCCCCCCAACCTTAATGGGGAACGTGGCCATTGGCAAAAAAGCCGTGGCCATTGGCAAGTGGCATTTGCCAATGGCCACGGGAAAGTTGCCAATGGCCACGGCTTTTTTTGCCAATGGCCACGGCATTTTTTGCCAATGGCCACGGCTTTTTTGCCAATGGCCACGGCTTTTTCCCCCCCCCACCCCCCCACCCCCCCCCCCACCCCCCGCCACCCCCACCCCCCACCCCCCCCCCCCACCCCCCCACCCCCCCCCCCCCCCACCCCCCCCACCCCCCCCCCCCCCCCCCACCCCCCCCACCCCCCCCCCCCCCCTCTCCCTGCATTCTGGCCCAGACCCCCATTCTGGGCTTGAAAACCTGGGTCTGGGCCAGATCAAGATGAAGGCTTTGCGGAGCCGGGCAACACCCACCCCTCCACCCCGAGAACGAATGCAAGCAGAATGAAGACGAGCAGAGAAATACGAGCAGAGAGAGAACGACTTCAAGGGCTCCAAGAGGGCGGTTGGGAAGGCGGGTTTCCAGCCCTAAAAACTCCAAGACCATGATTCCCAACCCCCCCTTCAAAAGGCTCCAGAGAGGGGGGTTGGGAAGGCGGGTTTCCAGCCCAAAACACTCCAAAACCATGATTCCCAACCCCCCCTTCAAAGTCTCCAGAGAAAAGGGTTGGGAAGGCGGGTTTCCAGCCCAAAACACTCCAAGACCATGATTCCCAACCCCCCTTCAAAGGCTCCAGAGAGGGGGGTTGGGAAGGCGGGTTTCCAGCCCAAAACACTCCAAGACCATGATTCCCAAACCCCCCTTCAAGGGCTCCGAATACGGGTAGTTGGTTCTAGGGTGGGTTGGGGATTGGCTCGAACTGGAATGGTTCGAGGGTGGGGTGGGGGAAAACAAAACATGAGGTTAACAAAATTAGGTTTTTTTGTCAATCCGGACCAACACTTTTGGTTCTACCTTCGGTCTGGGGAAAGCAAGCGCGAAGACAAGGGACATGCGACAAAGCCGACGAGCACGAAGGGAGGGGACATACGACAAACCCTAAGGGCGCGAAGGGAAGGGACATGCGACGAATCTGTAGACCTTTCATCAAACCATACGAGCACGAAGGGAGGGGGCATACGACAAACCCTCCGAGCACGAAGGGAGGCATACGACAAACCCTAAGAGGACGAAGGGAGAGGGCGTACGACAAACCTGTAGACCTCTCGTCAAACCCTACGAGCACGAAAGGAGGGGACATACGACAAACCTCGAAAATAAACCCGTACATTTCTCAATGTTTTGGGATTCTCTGCAAGCAGACGAAGAGGGACATACGACAAAGCCGACGAGCACGAAGGGAGGGGACATACGACAAACCCTAAGAACACGAAGGGAGGGGACGTACGACAAACCTGTAGATCTCTCATCAAACCCTACGAGCACGAAGGGAGGGGACATACGACAAACCCTACGAGCACGAAGGGAGGGGACATACGACAAACCTCTGAAAATAAAATCTCAGTTTCTGAATTCTTGGGATTCTTTGCAAGCAGACGAAGAGGGACACACGACAAAGCCGACGAGCACGAAGGGAGACGACATACGACAAATTCTAATAGCACGAAGGGAGGGGACGTGCGACAAACCTGTAGACCTCTCATCAAACCCTACGAGCATGAAGGGAGGGACAAACCTTACGAGCACGAAGAGAGGGGACATACGACAAACCTCTAGGCCTCTCATCAAACCCTACGAGCAGGAGCCAACATGAGGCGAGGTCACCGGGGCACTAATTGGAAAGAAACCATGTGGAAGCCAGGCAGCTTAAAGTGTGCCAAACACAACCAACAAGACGGCCAAAAATAGGCAGGGTCACCGGGGAAAACGAACACGAGCAAAGTGAATATGAGCAGAAAGAGAACTAATACGAGTAGACTGACGTCGAGCAGAGAGAGAACGAATACGAGCAGAATGAATACGAGCAGAAAGAGAACGAGTACGAGCAGACTCAGTACGAGCAGAAAGACAGCGAAAACGAGCGGACTGAAATCAAGCAGAGAGAGAGAACGAACACGCGCAGAAAGAGCACGAACACGAGCAGAAAGAGAACGAACACGAGCAAAATGAATATGAGCAGAAAGAGAACGAATACGAGCAGAATGATTACGAGCAGAGAGAGAACGAAGACGAGCAGACTGAAATCGAGCAGAGAAAGAGAACGAATACGAACAGAATGAATACGAGAAGAAAAACAACGAAAACGAGCGGACTGAAATCGAGCAGAGAGAGAACGAATACGAGCAGAATGAATACGAGCAGAACGAGAACGAACACGAGACAAGCAGATCAGAAAAAGAACGAATTCGAGCAGAATGAATACGAGCAGAAAGAAACGCATACGAGCAGAATGGAAACCAAGCAGAATGACAAAGAACACGAGCAGAATGAATAAATGAGGTTGGAAGACAGGGCTTGCTGAGGAAAATGTGAACTTTATATTTCTTAATGTTTTGGGATTCTCTGGGTGGGTGGGTTTTTTTCTAGAGTCCAGACAGCGGCTCTACTAGAGATTGCTCGACCCAGAGCTGCTGAACCCTAAACCCTAAACCCTAAATCCTAAACCCTAAACCCTAAACCCTAAACCCTAAACCCTAAACCCTAAACCGCCCAAGCTTCGCGCCAGCACAGCTGAAGCCCCTCCCCATACTCGAGGTCGGGCAGCTGCAGCATGTGGGGCGACCTCGAGCCCTAGGGGTTGGGTTTGGGGTTTGGGGTTTGGGGGTTGGGGTTTGGGGTTTGGGGTTTGGGGTTTGTGGTTTGGGGTTTAGGGTTTAGGGTTTAGGGGTTTGGGCTTTAGGGTTTAGGGTTTAGGGGTTAGGGTTTAGGGTCTAGGGTTTAGGGGTTGGGGGTTAGGGGTCTGGGGTTTAGGGTTTAGGGTTTAGGGTTTAGGGTTTAGGGTTTAGGGTTTAGGGTTTAGGGTTTAGGGTTTAGGGTTTAGGGTTTAGGGTTTAGGGTTTACGATTAAGCAAACCCAGATTATTATCCCAACTAAGGACTGCTAGTATAAGCGGGAACATCCCAACCTATAAACCCTGTAAACCCTGAACCTCACCCTAAACCCTAAACCCTGTAAACCCCTGTAAACCCCTGTAAACCCCGTAAACCCCTGTAAACCCCTGTAAACCCCTGTAAACCCCTGTAAACCCCTTAAACCCCTTAAACCCTGTAAGCCCTGAACCTCAACTCGGCCGAGCAAAACCGTTTTGAAAGGTTCTTCATGGTTGTGTTTCGGCTCCCTAGATTATAGAGCCTTAGGATTTAGGGTGTAGGGGCTAGGGTTTAGGGTTTAGGGTTTAGGGTTTAGGATTTAGAGTGTGGGTCGAGGGTTTTCGGGTTTCGGGAGTTTAGGGTTCCACATCCCAGCCACTCTTTACTTCTGATGTACAACTCTACTTGGAGGTTCAGGGTACTTATACCCCCCAATTATAACTGTACTTAGAAGCCCCCTGAGTCCCCTAAGTAGGTTATAAGTCGACTTATAATCGTGGTTATAAGTACCCCTAAACCCCAAACCCAAACCCTAAACCCTAAACCCTGAACCCTAAACCCTAAACCCTAAACCCTTGTGGTTTTAAGTACCCATGAACCTCCAAGTACCCCCCTACCCCCCTTACTCGGCGCCGCCGGGCCGCCCTGGGCGACCTGCACTGCATGGTTCAGGGTTCAGGGTTCAGGGTTTAGGGTTTAGGGTTTAGGGTTTAGGGTTTAGGGTTTAGGGTTTAGGGTTTAGGGTTTAGGGTTTAGGGTTTAGGGTTTAGGGTTTAGGGTTTAGGGTTTAGGGTTTAGGGTTTAGGGTTTAGGGCAACTATGTCTTGTTCTCACCCAGATCAACCCCTGAGCCCCCAAAACCTCTGAACAGCTGGGTTTGCAGGCTTCAGGTGGGGTGCACAGGCCTTTAGGGCTTCGCGTGTTCGGCTGCGGGTTCGACACAAAGCGGTCTCGCACAGGGTTTAGGGTTTAGGTTTAGGGTTTCGGGTTTCGGGTTTAAGGTTTAGGGTTCAGGGTTCAGGGTTCAGGGTTCAGGGTTCAGGGTTCAGGGTTCAGGGTTCAGGGTTCAGGGTTCAGGGTTCAGGGTTCAGGGTTCAGGGTTTAGGGTTTAGGGTTTAGGGTTGAGGGGTTAGGGTTTAGGGTTTAGGGCTAGGGCTTTAGGGCTTTAGGGTTCGTGCTGAGGCCAGGGCAGCCAGAGAGCGCTGAAGTTGGCTGCGAGGAGCTCGTCGAGCTGCTCTGCGCCTCAATGCCCACAAACCCCTACATCTACTAACTATAGGGGCCTTAATAAGTAGAACAGGGTTTAGGGTTTAGGGTTTAGGGTTTAGGGTTTAGGGTTTAGGGTTTAGGGTTTAGGGTTTAGGGTTTAGGGTTTAGGGTTTAGTTAGGGTTTAGGGTTTAGGGTTTATGGTTTAGTTAGGGTTTAGGGTTTAGGATTTAGGGTTTAGGGTTTAGGGTTTAGGGTTCAGGGTTTAGGGTTTAGGGTTTACGGTTTACGGTTTACGGTTTAGGGTTTAGGGTTTAGTTTTTTATGGTTTAGGGTTTAGGGATTAGGGTTTAGGGTTCATCCTAACCATAAACCGTAAACCCAAACCCCAGAATCTTTTCATTCGCAGCGGTCCACCAATCCGGAAGCCAGTGTTTCAGATCGCGCAACTCGAGTCGAAGAAAAAGTGGACAAGAGGCAGTAGGAAACCACACCTCCTCAGGGGGTACAGCTGGTAAAGCCACTGCCAGAGCCCATCATTAAGGGGCTGAAGATCTCGTGCAAGGCCATTATCTTAGGCCAGGAGAACATCTTTTCAGGGCCTTCGGCCCCGAAAAACTTAAAACGGAAGTCAATGCTGGAGGTTCCACGCCCGCCTGCCGCCTGAGGGCGTGGGAATGCCACCCCTCGCGCCGTGCGAACTTAGGAGAAAAACCTCTCCTTCGCATCAGCGCTTGCACGGCATCCGCCCAAACATCACGCGCACCAAGGCCGGCCCCAAGATCGGAATCCGTGAGGCCCTGGCCGGGCCCAGGATAGCTATCACCAGGATCACGGGGATGATGCCGAAGTGCGCCGTGGCGTCGAAGGAGAAGCCCGGCCATAGGCCTTAAGGGTAGCCCGGCAGCCATATCAAAATAAGGGTAGCCTTTTTTTTGTTCTTTTGGTTGGTTACTTTCTAAGGGAACCCCAAAAAAAGAGAGTAAAGGTACCCTTTTCTTTGTTCCTTTTGGTTGGTTACTTTGTAAAAAAACCCACAACCCCCAAAAAAGAGAGTAAAGGGCACCACTGGGGCTGCCAGGAGGCCGATAAGGCCGGGAAATAGAATCAGAAGCAAGGGCAGGCCTCGTTGTCCGAATGCTTTCCGTTCAACCTCGAGGGTTTAGGGTTTAGGGTTTAGGGTTTAGGGTCTAGGGTCTAGGGTCTAGGGTCTAGGGTCTAGGGTCGAGGGTGCAGGGTCTAGGGTCTAGGGTCTAGGGTCTAGGGTCTAGGGTCTTGGGGTTCAGGGTCTAGGGTTAAAGCTTGTAGCATAGCTTGTATTGTGGGTATCCCCAAAAGAACGCCCAACATGCACACTTACTAATACTCCTAAGGAATCCTAAAATTCACACACCAACAACAGCAGTACAAACCCTGCTTCAAAGGAAGTTACAATCCAATTCTGGTTTCCTGGTCATGGTGACAGGGTGGCACACCTTGAGTTCTTCAACCCCAAAACCAACCCTAAAACCTAAACCCTACACCCTAGACCCTAGACCCTAAACCCTAAACCCTGAACCTTAAACCCTAAACCATAAACCCTACCCCCTAAAACCCCAAACCCATCAAAGACCCTAAGCCCGAAGCTCCTCAAACAGCCTCCAAGCAACGGGCAGCACAACCCTAAACTCTAAATCCTAAATCCTAAATCCCACATCCTAAGTCCTAAATCCTAAATCCTAAATCCTAAATCCAATTTTCTAAATCCTAAATCCAAAACCAAACCCTAAACCCTAAACCCTAAACCGAAACCCTAAACCCTAAACCCTAAACCCTAAACCCTAAACCCTAAACCCTAAACCCTAAACCCTAAACCCTAAACCCTAAACCCTAAACCCTAAACCCTAAACCCAACAGCATCCAAGCAACGGGCAGCAGAAGGAAAACCAGGGGCCAAGCCACAGCCTCAAAGATCGCCACGCCAAAGAGTGCCCAGTGAGATGCCGGAGGCTCTTCATCATAGATCCTGTACCTGTAGACCTGACTTTTGGGGTTTAGGGCTTAGCGTTTACGGTTTGGGGTTTAGGGTTTAGGGTTTAGGGCTTGGGGCTCTTGATTCCATGTATACCTGCTGTTGAGGGTTTAGGGTTCAGTGTTGAGGGTCCAACACGTATGCATGATGCTTAGGGTTTAGGGCGAAGGGCTCTCCCTAAACCCTAAACCCTAAACCCTAAAACCCTAAACCCTAAACCCTAAACCCTTCATCCAGGAACCTGTGCTTGTATCCCTGATGCTTAGGGCTTAGGGCTCTTCATTCGGTACCTGCATGCCGGAGTTCCTACCCAAAACAGGGGTACTTACATACGTTATACACATATATATATATATATATGTATACATACATATACAGATGTGTATATATATATATATAGGTATGTATATATATATATATATACATAAATATATCTATATATATATATATATATATATAGATATAGATATAGATATCGATATAGATATATATATATATATATGTATATATATATATATATATGCACATACTATACGGCCCCCAATAGAGTATCCCTGATTTTCTGCAGCCCCTGCCTGAACACACTGAAAGACGAAGAAGCAGCAGCTTGAACTGAAGAGAGCTGTGCTCCAGACCGAGGCATTTCCGAGGCGTCCCCCCCCGAGCCGCGCAATCCTGAGTTTGAGGTTTAGGGTTTAGGGTCTAGGGTTTAGAGTGAAGGGCTTAGGGTTTAGGGTTTAGGGTTTAGGGTTTAGGGTTTAGGGTTTTAGAGGGTTTAGGGTTTAGGGTTTAGGGTTTAGGGTTTAGGGTTTAGAGTTTAGGGTTTAGGGTTTAGGGTTTAAGGTTTAGGGTTTAGGGATTAGGGAAGTCCCCATAGTAGCCAACAAAAATGCCAAAATGCTGATCATGGTAGCTTAGCTTTGCTGAAAAGTTGACTATGTACAACCTATATCCGGAACATGGTAGCTCAACCAAAACGTCCCAATTCCCCCGTATACTAACAGTCCTTCATGGGGATTAGAATAGGGGGTACTACAATTAGAATAAGGTGTAATACCCCAACCCAAAACCCTAAATTTACGAAGAGTTCCTGCACCGCAGCCCAGACTCACGACCTGCAGCTCTTTGGTCACGATGTTCATGGTCAGCAGCGCATCCACCGCGTGGTCCACTTCTTTTTGAAGACCCCTTTGCTCAATCTCCCCGAGGATGCGCCCCAAGTCATTCGGGTTGGAGCTCTGTGCATCCCGAACAGAGCCGGAGTAGCCATTTCTCAATTGCCGGGCCTGCTCCAAGCCTTGAATTCCCTGCAGGCGGTCCTTTTCCACCCCACCCACTACCAGGAATGAGACAAAGAGCTCCAAGAGCACTGCTAGATCTGTAAAACCCCTCATGCAGATATCCACCGCCAGGAAGCCACTCAGGCAGAGGGCGCCCAGGTAAACTGCGATTGCACATACCTGGGTTGGCCGTTAAAGCCTATGAAAAAAAAATATGTATATATATATATATATATATATAGGGTCCCTTATAAAAACATATAAGCAAAATACAAAATGTCCCAAAAGCCACCCTAGATACTTTCCAGCCATGCTTCTTCAACACAAAGAGGAGCAAGATGACAGCACCAACAGCGACGGCAGCCCCCAAGAAAGCAGGCCGCACTTGATCTTGAAGCTCAAGCGTGAACATGCTCCATCCCAGCCCTTCCCAGGTCGTTTGGAACATGATGGCAAGAATGCCCACACCCAGACCTGCACAAAACGTGGCCGGGACTCGTAGCACCCAAAGCCATTCATGCCCAAATGAGCGGGCCACCACGATCCGCTTGCCCCACTGCCAGGCCAGAAATGCTTCGTAGACACACCAGATCCGCGTGTAGTTGCTGCTGATGATGATGATGAAGTTGAGGGCAACAACCTGTGCTTACCTAGATGCGGTTAGATGCCCGCCGTCAAGAAGAAAATTAAAAAAAAAGATCTCCGCAGGCAGCTAAACTGCGCGGGACCCCTCCGAAAGGCCGAACTCAAACAGTCCTGACCGGAAGCGAATTCGGCCGTGCACTTCCTTCGAGGTCAGCTGGAAGGCCCGGAGCCTCCAGCGGGCAGCTTGGGGACCTCGCCTCGCTTCATCTGCTTGTGTTCTTCCCATCTTCGCAGAGCTTCGCTACGCCCGATCTTCATGGAAGGCGACCACAACGGGTGGGCCGATCCCCCCTCCGATTCGGTGTAGATGGTGATACCAGATTCGGAACCATCGCTGTCCACACTAGCATCCTCCGGTTCGGCGCCAGTCTCCTCGGTCGGGACCCCACAGTGTCTCTTGCACGGAGGCGTGAGTCCTGTGTGGCCCTTTTCGAAAACATCCGGCGCTTTGCCCCTCCTTGGTGGCATGACCTCTCCAGCAGCCGTCTGAGCGTCCCCAGCACCAAACGTAGCAGTGTCCGCCGTCCTCTCCGTCTCCATATCGCCAGCTTCTGCCTGCGCGGTGTTCGTAGGCACCCCGTCGCCCTTGTCAAGTGCAGCCGCTGCCCTGGCTTCCTTCTTGCGCTGGCGCCTCCTACGACGCTTAGCCTTGATGGCCTCGCGCCGGGCCTCCTCCTCTTCACCGCCAACGTTCCGGTCAGCAGGAGCGGACTCAATCACCCGGGGCCGTCGCTGCTGGCTAGGCGCCGCAGTGCCAGCAGCAGCCGACACTGCAGCGGCCGCAACCGCAGCAACCGTCCGTCGAGGTGCTCGAGCCTCGCAGGCAGCACGAACCGCAGCTGCCACGAGTGACGCTGCATCGGAAACTGCCATGGCACCCTATGGCTGAGCAGCGCGGGACCTACTCAGCACAGCATTCGCTTGGGCCTTTGTAGTTGCTGCTGATGATGATGATGAAGTTGAGGGCAACAACCTGTGCTTACCTAGATGCGGTTAGATGCCCGCCATCAAAAAAGAAAGAAAAAATCATGCCCGACGCCATCTGGAAGGAAAATCCCAGAAGATGCCATAGGGGTCCCCTCTGAGCACAGACGCCCCACAGGCGCCCATTCACTCCATCTCTCGATGTGCTCCAATGGCATCACGAAGCTGCTCATTGAAGCTCACAGTCCGCTCCATCTGCAGCTGCGCAGCCGCTCTGGACCAGGAAACCGCGCCCTCAACAACACGGCATGCGTTCTCCCATGAAGGTCTCAATGCAGCCAGCTGGGCCGTGCAGGCCCGGTCCGCCAACATGTTGAGCTCCCTCACCTCCTTCGCGGTGATCATCTCGGAAGGCGAACTCCACTGCGGTCTTTTGTTGTGACTGGGGACCCAATGCACCGTGACGTGGTCGCTCAAGCCCTCAGCCGCCCGCCTCCAAAACAGCGCAAGCAAACCATGCCACTGACCCTTCTCCCAAGCACGCCTCAGCCTGCGCACCGCTGCCTGATTGTCAACGAAGAGGATCAGCTTGCAACGCGCCCTTCTCACATGCTTCAGCAGCTGGTGGATGGCCTCACGTTCCGCCGCCGCGGGCGTTTGCTCGCCTCCCTCCAGACGACCAGAGACAGTTGTCGTGGTACTCCCCCGCCTCAGGGTGATGGCCCAGGCACCCCGCTGCCACAGCTCCATGCCGGGTTTGACCAGGCAGCCGCCATCAGTGGCTGCAAACAGCGTGTCGCCCGTCTGGGCTGCAGCCTCCATCTCACTCAGAAGCTCGTCCTCGTAGCCCTCAACTTCATCACGACGAGGCGGGGGCTGGGGCAAGTCCACCAAGCGGCAAAGAAGGCGTTCTTCAAGCTCTGTCGCCCTTGCCTGCGCTGCACCCGACACGGCATTGCACTCGAACGTAAGATGCCTTCTGCCAGGCGTGGGATGTCCACAGGAGCACGCACTGCTGACGCCCATGCGGTCAAGGAGCACACCATCCACGGAACACGCAGTTGCCACTCTCAGCGCTGGCCTGGTGGACTTGTCGGCCAAGCCTCGCAGACCAGCGAGGACAAGCGTGCGTCGACCCAGTGGCCCCCAGCCCTCCGTCTTGGCATCCGTGTCCCACAGTTCTTGCAGCCATGCCTGTTTCGCCGCCTTCTTCACTGCGCCCAGTGTGTGGAAACCGGGCTCAAAGTCACCAACGTAGGTGGAGAGGATGCCGCCGTGGTAGCGCCAGCCCCAACGATGACAAGCTTCCAGGAATCTCCTCCCCGGGCACCACTCCTGGCGCTGCATGGCCCTGGCCTCCGCCTGGTGCCACGCTGCACGCACTGCTGCAAAGTCCATGGCGAAGTCGAGACTGACCTCAGCACTGCCGATCACCGAGAGGCCCAACAGGCGCGAGCGGCCAGGCGCACGGCTGCCACCCCAAAGCGCATGGTCGATGGCCGCCTCCCACTGCTTGAGCGGCGCCTTTGCAATATGCCGAAAGGGGCCCACCCACTCCACTAAGGAAACCACAGTCATCCTCAAAAGCGCCCGCCGCAAACTCAGACTTCGTGCCATGAGCCCTACTCTCTCGCAACGCAGCTGAAGAAGCTGCGTGAGGCCATTAACATCAAAACCCTTACGCCCCACTGTCATGAAGTAGTGGATGCCCAGCAGCTTGAAGTCTGAACAGGGTGTGCCCAGCACTGCCGCGAAAGGGGTTAGGCTCTGCCTAGCTCTCGCCGTGTTCCCAAAGGATGCCAACTTGCCTTGGTGGATTTGCATGCCGAAGTGGGCGTCGACTGCGTTGCCCTCCTCCACTGCTTGCACCAATCGTTGTGCCCCTCCAGCGCCCTTGGTCCAAAGGGTTCTATCATCCAAGTACACTTTGACTGTGACAGGGCTGGGGGTTCGCCTGAGCGCATACACCCATATCTGCACCGCAGCGTTCAGCAGGAGAACGGAATAAGGGCAACCTTGCTGCAGACCTCTCCGCACGCTGATGGGCTCCGGGTGCACCACACCCTGAAGGGTGAGGAAACGCCTCTGCCCGTGGTAGTAGTCGGCTATAAGTCTGGAAAGCTCAAAAGGCATGCCGAGATGCTCCGCCGCTGCCAGCACCTGACGAGGAACAAGACTGTCGAAGCATCTGCGCAAGTCCGCTTTCATGCCGACCAGCTCGCCCTTCTCCGCCTCCTCCAGATCCGCCAAAAGCGCACCATGTATCCCGTGGATGCCACGCCCCGGCAGCCCTCCTTGAAGCTCATCAGTGGCCCAATTTGCCACCCACTCACGTAGACGTCTGGTGACTGCTGAACCGATGGCTCTCCACAGAACCGCAGCGATGGACAACGGACGAGTGCCACCGTCATCCTTGGCCACGAGCGCCACTTTGATGGACTTCCAGGTGCTGGGGACACGGCCATGTGTCAACATCTGCTTCCACATTTCAGCGACGCCTTGCCAGAACCCCCTGGGAAGGCGTAGAAGCTCCATCGCCGTCCAGCCATCCATCCCTGCAGCCTTCTTTCGGCTGCGCTTCGCAGCACTGATGATCTCCTCAGCCGTGACCTGCAGCGTGGTCACATCCTCCTGGGGGCGTGCATCCACATAGCGAGCAACAAAGGTGCGGGTATCCTCCTCCGCCTGCGGCTCCGTCTCCCATTGATGGCTCCACTGGGCATGCGCCTGTTCCAACTTCTCCTCAGGCGACAACGGAGCAGTCCATTCGGTTGGCGAGGCAGGGGGCACAGGTTGCTGACGCGTGACCCATTTGGCTGCCTTGGTCAGGTCCGTTTGGACTTGCTCCTTCCATTTGCTCAAGCGCCGCTGAGAAGAACGCTCTTCTTCTACCGCCGCCTCATGCTCTGCGGCCTGGCGAAGGGCATCCAGGTCATTGAAATGGAGCCCCAGGTTGGTTGCACCTTGGCAAATTTTCCTCAGAAGGAGAGCTCGCTGTGTGGGATCTGCTGTCTCTCTCTGATATTCTGGAACACGTCTGGAAAGCCGACGAAGTTTGCGTTCACGTAGTCCCTGCACAGTGGGCGCCTTAAGAGAAGGCAGCGCACCCACCTTGGGCCACGAATGCTCACTCCGGCGCTTGCCCCGAATTCCTCCCATGGAGTCCTCCGCCGCGTCACTAAGCATGTGCCACGCCTCATCAATTTGACCCTGCCCAAGGGCAGATTCAAATGGGGCAGCGTGGGGCTGCCAAGTCCGTCCCCAGTCCTCCTCGGTGACATCCTGCTCGTCCAGAACACGTCGCCCAGGGAGTCTGATAGGCTTGGCCCGCTCTGCTTTGAGAACCAAGTCATAGAAGACCAAATCATGGTCTGCTGGTCCAGTGTACTGCTCCCTGTGCCAAAAAACCAGGTTGCGGTGCCCATAGCAAAGTCTATGCATCTAGTGTAGGCCCCACTTTCTTGTCTGTGTGTAGGCGGCGGAGGCCCATCTCCGAGGATCATCTCATCCGCCGCTCTCCACCTCCCGCACGCACACGCCGGCCCCACTGGCCACATGCTGGCCGTCAGGTTGAAGTCGCCCATGAAGACCGCCTCCTCACCAGACTCCGCAACGTACTCCATCAAGCCCTGTAAGATAGCGCCCGCCTCCACTCGCGACGAAGCCGGCAAGTACAAATTGCAAAGAAGGAGAGGTCGCTGATGAGGCCTCCAGACCCTCAAGAGTCCTCCACGACCAGGCGGCAAGCAGTCCGGGGCGACGACTGATTCCACAGGCCAGCGAGAAAGCGTGATGGCTCCCCATTTGCTGGCGCCACGCTCACCGACAACTTGATCGTGTATGTGAAGCTGCCAACCATGCCTTCTCGACATCTGCTCCATTGCCCCGTAGCTATCTCGGGCAAGCCGAGCTTCTTGCAGAAGGAGCAGATCCAATTTATGCTCGCAACCCAATTGCAAGACAGTCGCTGCCTTGCCTGCCAAAGCTCGCACGTTCAACGCGCCCACGCGGAGGCTGTGAACTGCCTCCGTCATGACTGCCGCTCCGCTGCACGCCTCCCTGGCCCCGCCTCTGCACTGGGGCCCGAAATGCATGGAAAAGGCCTCAAGTTTCCAGTCTCGGATCGGAAACCAGGACTTGTGGCCTTTTCAACAGATTCTTCACCCAGAGCAACCAAAACAGCCATGGCAGCCGATTTGGGGGGGTCCTCCGCCTTCGCCGCGATTTGTTGCAGGTCCCTGATGCGCTTGTCCTTGCGTCGCCGGCCCACCGTGCTGCATGGCCTAGCTGTGAGCTGCGTCAGCTTGGCCGACTCCTCATGGCACTTCAAGCACAGAAAGCGCACCGCATACGCATAGTTGCCACTGCCCTTGTTGAACGAGGGCCACGCAAAGACTTGAACGTGGTGCTGCGCATCTCCCTCGCCCTTCTCCTGCTGCCGCGCCTCAACCTCCTCAAAGATCTGAAGCACACGTCGCAAGCCATTCTTCAACCCCTCCGCGTAGTCCGCCTCCAACGCCTCCTGGAACTTCTTGATCATGCTCGCCCGCTTGTGACCCACCGCAACCCTCGCCGAGTTGCAGGGGTATTGTCGCAAAGACGCCGCCGCATGCCCGTACGAGCCACACGTTTTGCACACCAAACAAGTGCTCGTATTCCGCTTCTTCTTGGCCGTAGAGCCCAGACAAGGGATGCGCAGGATTTCCACCTTGTGGTCACCGAAGTCGCCCTTCTTGGCCCGGAGAACTTTCGCCGCCACTCCCGCAGCAATCTTTGCAGCCGTCGCCTTTCCAGAGTTGTTCGCCCGTGGGCGACGCCGCACAGGTTTCTCGCTCGGATGTCGCCACCTCATGTGCTGATTGCAGGCCCTGGTGATGGCTTCCTCAGCACCCCTGCCACGAGGCACACCATCATCCAAAATACCGGCAGGACAGTGAGGGCATTTCCAGCGAGTCTGGACAGCGTCGGCCTCAGCTGCCGTAACGTCCTCGATCACCCTGACGCCATACTTGGCTTTGCTGCTCCACTGCTCTTTCCTGTCGAGGTGCCAACTGCGCAAATGCAAGTGCCGCAAGGTATTAAGGTACGCCCCTTTCGCGTGCAGTGGCGTCCGATAGGGGCAAAATTTACACTGCCAGTGAGTGCGCTTACCTTTGCGGCCCTTCTGCTGCGCAGCCACCTTGGGCACCTCCACTCCACCCAGGTCCTGACTATCACAGTCTGACGCCGCCGCCGCTTCCGCCTCGTTCAAGCTGGCAACAGGCCTGCGAGCGCCCGCTGCGAAAAGGGGCCCAAACCAAGCGCGGATGTCGTTGGCACGTTTTCCTTCGAGAGCTTGGCGACGTACCAGTTGGCCATCCACAGAAGTGTAGGTGGTGAGGGCAACCTCGTCTCCAGCAATGGAGCCAGAGGAGGGCTCGCCAGCCGCCCGGCCCTGTCCAACGGAACCAGTAGAGTAGAGAGTGAGCGGCACATCCTCCTCGCTGCTGCCACCTCCTTCAGCACGCTCACCGCCTCCCCTGCCTCCGGAAGTAGCACCGATTTCCTGAATCGTGCTGATGACTGCAGGGTAGCCCGCGTCGCGGTCAGAAGGCTCAAAGAAGTCGTAGTGCCCGATGCCACTTGCGCCAGGCTCGAACTGGAAGGCCATGACATAGGAGCCACTCCCATGCCGCACAGGAGGGTCGGAAGCCAACGTGGGGATCACGTACACTGTAAGCCCGAACAGCCGGCAGGCAGCGTCGATCTCGAGGTGGCCGAGGTACTTCCCGTCAAGAGCAGCCTCCTTGAGGTAGTCCTGGAAAGAGGACAGCGTGTCCGGGCGGTCGGAAGTGTCTCTGCCATCCCAATATGCCTCGTAGTGCGTGAGCTTCCGCTGCATGTAGGAGATGAGCTCACCCCGAATCTGGCGACTGCTAGCAACCTTGGCGCTGCCTTTGTTCCAAGCCAGGCCCTTAGCTATGGCATTCGGAAGGCAATTTCCATCGCGAGCAATCTCAACAAGCGTGACACCGTCAGGAGCTGCCCGGGAAGCAACGGCAAGGCGTTTCGCCTGACTTTCCTCCTTGGCGCTGGCATCGGGGAGCTCCTCAGCATCCTTGTTGACGGCGGTCGCGGTGCCAGGGACGACTCGGAAGGACTCGTGCTTGAAGGTGAACGTGTTGTCCTGCTTCAAAACAGTGCGTTTGATGAACCCCTGTCTTGCAACAAAGGTCGGAAGGACGTAGAAAGCCTTGGTCTCTTTGCCCACCTCAGCGTTGATGACGACGAGGTCCTCCTTACATGCAGCGCGCAGAAACCAGGTAGCGACACCTCGTCTTGTGATTCTGCTGGTAACCGTCATGTCGGTGAGGCCGGACCCAGCAAGGAGGTCAGCGATGGTATCCTGGGTCCAGTCGCACGGCGTGTCAGCAAGTCGCCAGCTGCGGATGACTTCCTCAGGCTTGTGGACAACCCGCTCGCCGATCTGCCGTCGCCCCACTATCAAGCCATGCTTCGGCTTGGCAGCGATGCATCTCTGGAGGTACACGGCGTCAGTCTCACCATCGCGCTTCTCATGCCAACGAACATGGTACTTCTTGTCGTCGTCCTCTCTGCTAACGGTTTCCCAGAAGAGGCCATCCATTCCACTCTTCACCAACATGGCCTCGCGCTGATCAGTGGCAATGCGAACCAAAGCGACCAAGACCTTGCCATGCCGCTCCTCAGCCGCGGTGCCCCAAACATCCTTGACATGTGGGACTCGAGACTGAACGTACTGCTTGAAGTCGCGCTGCGCTTGCGTCCATGACTCGCGGCTAGCAAAGTCTCGCACACAAATGGCCCTCAAGACCGAGGTGGGGACGATTTTGACCGCCTTCTTCGCTTTCTGCTCACCCTTGAGGCCGGGAACGGCGACGTTTGAAACAGGGTGGGAACTGAAAGACGTCCGCAGGAGCCGTACCTGACCATTGTGCCAAAACGGCAATTGGTTAGGCCCCTTGTCATCCCTCCACAGAACCAATAGCGAGCTCTTGAAGCCACCAGATGCCACCATACATTGAGCAGCCTCAGCCTGTGTAGCATCCTCCGCAAGGAACCAAAGCGATTCCCCAGCGCCACTGTAGTCGCCAAGCTGGTCGTATAATGGGTTTCCCTGTCCAATCCTCTGCTCTAAGCCGCCAGACCGTAGAAGGGGGGTTGCGAACGGGAGGGGCGTGACTACAGCCCGGCCCTTTGCCCTTTCCATTCCCAGCGGACTTGCCCTTGCCTTTGTCGTCGGAAATGTTGCTCTTGCCGTTGCCCTTTTGGACGCCATCCTTTGTGTGAGCAGTACCCTTAGCGGGAAGCTCACTGCTGACCTTGCCCTTGCCCTTGGAAGGCTCCTGTCCCTTGCTCGCGGACCCCCCTTGCGGGATGGGAGGCCTTGTCGAGGCGGAAGGGTTGGGCGCCGTGGCAGCTGAACCATCTCCAGAAACAGCATCGGCCTTCTTGCGGCGCTTTCGCCCCGCAGGTTGCCATTCACCTTCTTCGCCCTCTTCGCCGATCTGAACTCGACGAATCGCATCTCCAGTTCCTGTTCCTCCCGCCTGACTCTCCGCCAGACCGTTCAAAGTACTGTTGGCGGAGGCAATTGTGGAGGAAAGATCAGCGTTCTGACCACCAGCGATCTGTGTGACAAGCTGGAGGATGGTTTGGAGCAACTGCATGAGCATGCCAAGCTGGGCCGCGTCAATGGGGCCCGGATGCGATGCTTCCCCCACCCTCTGTCCTGCATAGCCCGTAAGCCTGTTCAACCGACAGCGCCGGGTGCGTCGGGCACCTCCTGGCCCTGGGTTTGAGGCCTCAAAGCGAATGCCACGGAGGCCCTGCAATCTCTTCCTGGCAGGGTGGCCCCATGATCTCGTTGCATACGTGGAAAAATGTGGCCTGTCAAACCAGTCATCGCTCCGTACATGTAGCCGAACTGGCTTGACATAGCGCTCAAACTCAAGGAAAACTCGCGGCGATCCGCCGAAGGGGTCGGTCGCCTCTTCATCAATAACTGCAAGCCCGATCTCTTCCTCAAATGCAAGGCCCTGCAAGCCTGCCGAGAGGATCCCGAAAGTCGACTGAAAATCAAAATTGCCATGCCTACTGGCCAAAGCAGGCATGCTGTGTGGTCCATGTGTGCACTCGCAAATGCACACGAGCGAAATTGAAGCAAACCATCGCCACCAAAGAGAAAGGTTGCCCTGTCCAATCCAATCTCTAAAGCAGCATCGTCTCATAAAATCGATGAGCAAGTACGGAATCATGCACAAGCACTGCACAAGCAAGGGCAACAAATGCAGGTCACCGCTCTCACCTTTCGTCACCGGATTTGGCCTATCCGGTCCCGCGGCCACCACGAGGAGGTAGTGAGCTTGGCCGCTGTAGTTGCTGCAAACTGCATTGGACACCACCAGCAAGCATTGCTCAAAGCCCTGGCAAACGGCGACTCCCGAGGACTCTGTATCAGATCCGAGATGTCCTTAGTAGCCCAGTAACCATTTCATAAGGGCACCCTTTTTTGGGTTGGTTACTGTATAAGGGAACCTTGAACAAAACCGGTAAAGGGCACCACTGAGCTACCAAGTGTCTAAGTTCTGAGGGTTTGACAAGAAGCACACATAGGCTGCCGTCGCCCCTCGCGGCCATGACAGCTCGACTTTGTCGATGAACTCATAGATACCTGGCGGTCAGGCGCTGCGTTCAACTGCAACTATGAGCTACCCAGCTACAAAACCCTACACCCTACACCCTAAACCCTCAACCCCCAAAACCCTTCAACTGCGATACCCAAGACTCGCACATAGAGACTTTAAAGAGGCAAGGGTTTAGGGTTTAGGGTTTAGGGTTTAGGGTTTAGGGTTTAGGGTTTAGGGTTTAGGGTTTAGGGTTTAGGGTTTAGGGTTTAGGGTTTAGGGTTTAGGGTTTAGGGTTTTTTGGTTTAGGGCAACGGTAGAGGTAGCTCAATGTTGGCAATCCCCCACCTTCCGACCAGGTGTGGGTGACAAAAAGGTCGCAAGGCAAGCCCTCAGGATGCTTCCTTGGGCGGTTTAGGGTTTAGGGTTTAGGGTTTAGGGTTTAAGGTTTAGGGTTTAGGGTTTAGGGTTTAGGGTTTAGGGTTTAGGGTTTAGGGTTTAGGGTTTAGGGTTTAGGGTTTAGGGTTTAGGGTTTAGGGTGGTTCCGCGCACACCACCACACGGGACGTGTGTTGTGGTGTGCGCCCAGGTTCAACGCGCTCTCCCAACCCACCCACCCACATCTCAACCTTGGGCGGGTTTAGGGTTTTATAGTATCGTGTGTAAGTACAGTAGTGGGAGGGGCGCTACGGGCCGCCTTTGACCAAATCCTGGGGTACCCCCCGCGAAGGCCCCCCAAGATCACTAGGTTTTTTTGGCGGGTTTAGGTTTTTTTTTGCCCGGTGTTTCCAAATTATGAGGCTTATACCGGGCTCACAAGACCCATAGGTTTATGGCTCGTTTTGGTTTTTGGTCCTGCGCCCTCTCTACGATTGGGGAGGGTCTGGGATTGGCCGAAGGAGGCCTTTTAGGAAACCTTTTGGAAGGACTGTCCTGGGACCTCCTGAAACCCTGCTTACAAGATTTATAGGTTTATATGTTGGGCTCCCTTTGGTTTTTGGTCCTGGGAGACGCTTGGGGAGGGTTTGGGAGGCCTGGCCGAAGGAGGCTTCCTGAAAGGATTTCCTGGTGGCACTCTGGAACCTCGGCCCCTGGGACGTCTTGGGACCTTGCTTACAAGATTTTTGGCGGTTTCATGATCCGGAGAAGCCCAAACAGGCTCAAACAGTCCGGGAGGAGCCCAAAAAACTGGTCCGGCAGAAGTCCAAAAAGTTCAGAAAAGGTCCATAAAAAGCTCGGAGATTGCGGCAAACCCAAAAAAGCTCAGAAAGTGTCCGGGAGAAGCCCAAAACGGCTCAGAAGTGGTCCGGGAGAAGCCTAAAAGTCAGAAATGGTCCGGGAGAAGCCCAAAAAGGCTCAGACATGGTCCGGGAGAAGCTCAAAAAGGTTTAGGGTAACTCTCTTTGGAGCCAGACTGACGCTGGCACGCGGGTTAAACCCTTCTAGGCGTGGGCCGCGCTCACCGCGCGCAACGGCCCCGAGCCCTCGCCAGGCTAAGGCTCGGGCTCGTCCGCGGGCCTGTCGCCACGCGGTATCGCTCGCCGCTGCTTATCGCAGCGCCCGCGGCTCGCTCCAGTTTACAGTTTAGGGTTTAGGGTTTAGGGTTTAGGGTTTAGGGTTTAGGGTTTAGGGTTTAGGGTTTAGGGTTTAGGGTTTAGGGTTTAGGGTTTAGGGTTTAGGGTTTAGGGTTTAGGGTTTAGGGTTTAGGGTTTAGGGTTTAGGGCGTAGGGTGTAGGGTGTAATTTGCCATGTTATTGATAAGGGTACCCTTTTTGGGGCGTTGGCTACTGTATAAGGGGACCTTGAACAAAAAAAAACGGGCAAAAGGGCACCGCTGGGGCTACCAAGCTTCATGAGCGCCCAGCTCGCATTGCCTGCAGCCTGGGACGTAGTTTTGCAGGGGGCCCTCAACCCAAAGCCCGTTTGCTCAAAAACCCTGAACCCTAGACCCTAATTAAACCCTAAACCCTAAACCCGAAACCCGAAACCCGAAACCCTTAACCCCAAGCCCTTAGCTTTCTAACAGGTTTCGGGAGCTTAAGGACACCAATCTCAGGATTTCACAGCTCCTTCGGATCCATTAGACCCGAGACTCAATCCCGTTACACCGCCACCCGGGTTTAGGGTTTAGGGTTTAGGATTTAGGATTTGGGGTTTAGGGTTTAGGGTTTAGGATTTAGGGCCAAGCACGAAACCCCAACCGCGCTGGTTATCCTGAAGTATGGTGATCTCTCAGAAAAAAAGACAGGTTAGGGTTCAGGGTCCAAAGCTTGAGGACCACCAGCAACACCACCCGTCACCCTGCCAAAACAGGTATACCCTACTTGAGAATGCAGGAACCTGGATACTAGCTGGACTAAAGCTCTCAGAGACAATTTCTTCGGGCAGCTGGCAGAGAAGTTGAATAACCCAATACATTGTGAGAAACTGTATCTATACTCCCCTTAGGACCTTAATAAAAATCATATGTTTACTCTCCTCTTGGGTTTTATACAAACCAAAATAGAAATAATTCCCAAGGGGGATATAGGTACGATAAGAATGCGAAGAGAAGCATACTGCAAAAGGCTGACGTGGCTTGAGCCAAGCAGCCTGTGTCAGGGGTTTGATGAACTGGTCGCTGACGGTGTAAGCCTGGGTAGCCCAGTAAGTATACTACAATAAGGGTACCCCTTTTTGCGTCGCTAACTTGATAAGGGAACCCTAAACCCTAAACCCTAAACCCTAAACCCTAAACCCTAAGCCCCAAAAAAGGGACAAGGGCACCACTAGGCTACCAAGAAGCAGAGGGCCCAATCTTGACATCGAAGACGTCGAACGGGTCGCGATCCGTTGGCTGGATCCTTCCAGCTTTCACTGCTTAGGGTTTAGGGTTTAGGGTTTAGGGTTTAGGGTTTAGGGTTTAGGGTCTAGGGTTTAGGGTCTAGGGTTGAGGGTTGAGGGTTGAGGGTTGAGGGTTGAGGGTTGAGGGTTGAGGGTTGAGGGTTGAGGGTTGAGGGTTGAGGGTTGAGGGTTGAGGGTTGAGGGTTGAGGGTTCAGGGTCCTTCCAGCTTTCACTGCTCCATGCACGAGCCGCTTGAACTGCCGAAGGTCATCCAAGGTGACACACCAGTTCTTCTGCATCTCGGCGGCCCGTTTCGGGTTTAGGCTTTAGGGTTTAGGGCTTAGGGCTTAGGGTTTAGGGTTTAGGGCTTAGGGCTTAGGGCTTAGGGCTTAGGGCTTAGGGCTTAGGGCTTAGGGCTTAGGGTTTAGGGTTTAGGGTTTAGGGCGTTAGCTACTACTTGCAGAGGAGCCCCCAAAAGCTTTTAAATAGAAATCCCTACACTACCCTTACTATATTACCCTTATTAGAAAGAATCCCTACAGCACTATAGTACCCTTACGAGGAAGAAGTTTGTGATGTTTCTTCTTATTATGTCTTTTTTTTTGGGGGGGGACTGAGGCAAATAGTAGCTACTTAGTAGTTGAGTCCAAAAAGCCACTCTCGTACTGGCCAAATGGCACCACGTGAACCACATAGCCGGGTGGACAAACGCACCGATATCGTACGATGCCACCATGGCAGTAGAAGTTGGTGTTTGAACCGGGTATCATATAGTACCGCTGAGCCTATACTGAACTTGGAACCTTAGCAAAAACTATAATTTTAGCTGCAAAATACCCAAAACTTACAAATAATTTACAAGCATCCCTAAACCCTAAACCCTAAACCCTAAACCCTACACCCTAAACCCTAAACCCTAAACCCTAAGCCCTAAAACGTTTTCCAAAAACTCCTCAGGAGCAGGTGGGCAAAGGTTGCGCTCACCGACCGAGCCATCTGGACACGGGAACGGGTTCTTGGCCTAGGATGGCCCTGAAAACAGTTTCTTCTCTAACCCTAAACCCTAAACCCTCAACC